CCAGAGGCTCCCTGGAGTGCAGAGGCCTCCTTATTGACATCCATGTTCAGGGGGCTGGATCAGTCTTGTACTGGTCTCCCAGATAGCATCTGGGGTCGATGTGCTCTCCCTTCAGTACACACTCTTAACCACTGGGCCATATCTCTAGCCCCAGGTTCAAATCCGTGTGTGTGTGTGTGTGTGTGTGTGTGTGTGTGTGTGTGTGGGGGATTAATTCCAGTGCCTGTTGCATGCCTGGCAAGCAGTCTGCTGCTGAGTGACATCCTAGCCTCTCACTGGTATATTCTGGGCAAGTGCTGCACCATTGAGCCATGGCCCAGCCTGTTCTTTTACTTTTGGCTTGTTTGAGGTTTTGTAGAGTTTTGTTTGTTTTGTGTTGTGTTTGTGTTTTTGATACAAGGTCTCACTGTGTAGTTCTGGCTGGCCTCGAGCTCCTAGAGATCTGCCTGCCTCTGCCTCCTGATCTCTGTCACTTTATTTCTTTCCCTTTTATTTGTTTTATCAATGCCCAGAAGCACAGGGCTCAAAGGGAATCCACAAAGTCAGAGCATACTAGACTTTTCTATCTGAGGGGGTTAGGGAAAAAGACTTTCATACTCTCTCTCCATGGCTTCCTACAGACCTTTCCTTTATTATTCTGTTGCCTTCTCTATTTATTTTCCTGGTGATTTCCTTCTCTTGTTCTTGATGTTTGCCTCCTAGGTTTGTTTTTATTCTTGATGTTTTCCTTCTAATCTCTTCTAATTCTCATCCATTATGTTTTCCTTCTAAATCATTTGAACTCTCTCTAACTCTCTATTCTTTCCCTTTAGCTTACTTATATACCCCAGCAAAACCTTTCAGGCAATATAAAAAAAAATCACAATGTGGTTACATTCTGTTTTACAAGTGAATGATTACAGCAAATACAAAACAAACAGTAAAAAACAAACCCAGCATGTTTTCCATAACCCTTACATGATTAAACATTTTACGTATTATAAGTGAAAAATTAATTATCCCCAGAATCCTGGTATAGTCATACCCAAGCAACTTGTTATAGATTAACTACGTAGGCAAGCAAGATATTCTTCTCAGTCATGTCTTTTACTGGCAGGCTGCTTTTTGCAGTTATAAAGAAAGGGCCAATTATTACTTATCTTGAAAGTTAACCTTATAAGGAATCTTAAAGGAATCACAAATCTAAACTTAAACATGAAAAAAAATCAGTCATCCCTACTTTAAATCTTTAGGCTACATATCCACTCATCAATAGTTTCTTATCAGGAGATGGAGGGAAAAATGGGAACTAGCCATCACCTTTGGTCATCAACCAATCCTAGCAAGAAAGGAACATCAGCTAATGATAACTGGGCTGCTTTGTACTTGTCCCCCTGGCCCTAAGGAGTTCCTCATTTAACTATGTGCCTTTCTAAAATTCCAGGTTATCTTCTTGGGCATTTCATCTCAGAGCTATTTGACAAAAACATCTTTGTATATTTAAGTTATTTTTAAAGCTTTGTTTCAGCTATGTTTCAAAGCTTTGTTGCACCCTGAAACCTGTGAACACATCTTCCAACATTAAGGTTAGAATTGAAATTAGCTGGGCTACTATGACTCAATTGTTTTTCTTAATCACTAACCTAAGCTACAGTCTATATGGTTCCTCAATTGAAACTCATGTCTTCTAGACACTTACTTGTTTATAGTTTTAATCATCAAAACTCTGTTTAAGGTAATTATTATCATCAGTCAATTAGACAGTGCAGCATAAGAAGTCATCTTCATAGTAATCCACAGGTAAAACTGCCCAGTAGATCAGGATGTTTCCATGAGACAATCACACTACATTACAGGCACTGGGGATCTCCCCACACCCATTCACACCATGCCAGATACAAGAGAAAGATGGCAGCAACAAACATGTAAAGCACAGCCGAAGCAAAAGGCATTCTGGAGTCTGTGATCTTGGGACTTTGCCTATCCCAGACTGACCCATCAGGGATTTTCAGGGAATTTTCTCCTGGCAGCTGCTGCTCTGCTGTGGTCACTGGCATTCTTTCACCACCACACACACCCCCTTTTGAGGTAAGGTGACCTGAACATGGTCTTCTGGAAGAGCAGGGAGCACTCTTAATTGCTGAGCCCCAAGTTCTTTCAATATAAAATAGTGCTTATAGTTATACTCCAACTCCTATGTCTACCCTGACTGGTTTTTTGAGTCTCAGGCAGCACAGATTGGCCTTAAACTTAGTTTGTAGCTAAGCAGGAGAATCAGATCCCAGCACCCACCTGATCCAGCTAAGAACCTCCTGTAACTCAAGCTCCAGGGGGGTCCAGTGCCTCTGACCTCCATAGGCACTGTATTCACACACAAATTAACTCTCTCTCTCTCACTCTCTCTCTCTCCCCCTCTCTCTCCCTCTCTGTCTGTCTACACACACACACACATACATACACACACCCTGTAAGATGGCTCCGAAGTTAAAGATGATTGTGAGCTCCCAAGTGGTGCTGGGAATTTAACTTGCATCTCTGGAAGAGCAGCCAGTGCTCTTAATCACTAAAGCCATCTCTCCAGACTCAACATTCTATCCATGTTACGTATTATATATAGGAGTATATTATATTATATTATATGTTATATATATGATATATATATATATATATAGGAGTATATATGTATTAAATATAGGAGTATATTCTATCCATGAGCAGAACTTTGACAGGGGCACAGGGATTTTTGAACACATTGTATACTGTTTAACTCCAGGTTGTGTACAATACCCAAACTGGCCACACTGGGGGAGTGTGACTATCTAGAATAGTAGCTTTTGCTGGGTGGTGGTGCATGCCAGCACTTGGGAGGCAGAGGCAGGTGGATCTCTGTGAGTTTGAGACCAGCCTGGTCTATAGAGGGAGTTCCAGGACAGCCAGGACTATTACAGAGAGACCCTGTCTTTCAACAGGGTCAAATAATGACATGAAGACTTAATTATTAATTATGGGTGTGGCCTTAGCTTGGGCTTGTTCCTAACCAGCTCTTATAACCTAAATTATCCCATATTTTTAAACTATACTCTGTCACATAGCTTGTTAACCTCTTTTCTATACTGTGCCTCATGCTTCCTGTTCGTGTTTTGCTGGGGAATTCTGCCTTTCTTCTTCCCAGAGTTCTCTATGCCCAGAAGTCTTGCCTAAACTTTACTGCCTAGCCATTGGCCACCCAGGTTTTTTATTACACCAATCATAGCAACACATCTTCACACACAGCATACAAATATCATACATTTCCCCATTTTTGTTTAAGTAAAAAGGAAAGGTTTTAACTCAAACATAGTAAAACTATATGTAATAAGAACATGCCAGGTGGTGGTGGTGCATGTTTTTAATGTCTGACAGACCTTTTTGTGAAGCAGGAATTTTGAAGGACTGTCCTACCTTGTCTTGGCAAAGTTTGGCAGTCACCTTTTTGTGTATGTGTGTCTTGCTTGTCCAATTTGGACAACATATTGTCAGCAGTTGAGGCAAGGGCAGTTTCTTTGCCAAGTGGATAACTTTACTACAATGAAAGCAAACTCCTTATGGAGGTTCTTTGATGCCTATAATTCGTTTTTGAAGTAAACTGGTGCTGCCAGGAGCAGACATAATCTCATTGTCACGAAAAGCTTTAGGCTTTTTTTTTTTTTTAAAGATTTTATTTATTATGTATACAATGTTCTGCCTGCAGGCCAGAAGAGGGCACCAGATCTCATTATGGATGGGTGTGAGCCACCATGTGGTTTTTGGGAATTGAACTCAGGAACTCTGGAAGAGCAGCCAGTGCTCTTATCCATCTCTCCAGCCCCACGCTTTAGGTTTTTAAAACCTCTTCAATGCCATATTCTGTAGGTTCCCAAAGTGTTTGAAGACCATCTATCTAAAATATATTTTTGTTTACCTTGAAAACATACTTAACATGGTCACAAATTTGATTGTTATAGATGACTAACTAATACATTTTTTGTTGTGTTTTTTGAGACAGGGTTTCTCTGTCTAACAGCCCTACTAGGTACAATACCTTAAACAAGAGTAGAAACATATATACAGTATGTTTTGACAAGAAAACCTTACCGTGTCGAGTATCAAATATACAAAAATCAACCCAAGGTAAAATATTTCAGTTTAGTAAATTTTTTTTAGTTTAAAAGTAGATCCAATAATCTACCTTTTTCCCTATCATTCCTCTACCCCACTTTTTTTCTTTTTAGAACCAGATCCCTGAATGTAATTTCCCTTGCTTAGTTTCCTTCCTGATTATGACCAATAGCAACTTGCAAACAACCCCCCTAAAAAATGACAAACCTTCTTAACCAAACAACCAAAACCCACCCATCCCAACTCTTGGGAATGTGGGCATCATGTTCTCTAGACTGCTTCCTGTTGTCTGGGGGTGATGGCATCTTTGGGGGACACTGAGAAAACTGGGATAAAGGTCAAGTCCTGGGAGAGCTAGCTGTGTTATTTTTTGTTTAGTCTCTGTGTGATGGAAAAGTCCAGGGCTGGAGTAGTATGTGAGGCTGGACCATTTCAGCTAGCAGTTCTGAATGTGGAATTTTGAGGAAACTGAAACAGAGGCATTCTGAGAGGTTGGATCACCTGGACTACTTTTTCATAGATGTCCTTTTTATTTTGATAATATACAAACTTTTAAAGGTAACATACATATCTGTATTAACACAAGTATGGAATGTACTGTGTGCACAAGTTAGCTAAAGGTGATTCTCTGCTCCATGTTTGAGCAGGTAAAACACATCTGTCAACTTTACAAGTTCAGTTGGATTGTATAACCAAACTAATATGTTTCTGTCCATGCCATATGAAAGGATGGCTTGTAATGATAGGTCATGAGGACCAACAAGATTTATCATGTCTCATCCAGTCTTAGAGTTATTCCCATGTCAAGGGACCAGTATACAGGTCACCTTCCCTGTAGTCTTCCTTAGTTTTTCCCTTATTTCTCTAGCTAAGATCCTCAGGAGGTCTCCCCAGGTCAATCTGATCTTTCTTAATTTTGAAGGAATCTATTGCTTTTCATTTCTTTCGGAAACAAAAGCACAACCTCTTCCCCAATATCCTGACTTTTATTTTGAAGTTAAGACGCCCCTAAAGTATATAAATTGGTTTAATTTAGCGGTTACTTTCAATCTAATGTCTCTCAGCAGTTACCACTTTATGTTCATTAGCATTTAAAAAATTAAAATTAGCAAAGCACCATATAAGGCCCAAACTCCCTGTGTTACATTTAAACTATTAGGCTGTCCACAGTGCGGCTAGCTTAACACATGGCATTGGTAGCTGCCTCTGCCCTCTTTGGGTCTGCCTAACAGTCCCAGCCATGTCTAACCATCCCAGCTCTAGGAAACTTTTTTTTTGTTTTTGTTTTTTTCGAGACAGTGTTTCTCTGTGGCTTTGGAGGCTGTCCTGGAACTAGCTCTTGTAGACCAGGCTGGTCTCGAACTCACAGAGATCTGCCTGCCTCTGCCTCCCGAGTGCTGGGATTAAAGGCTTGTGCCACCAACGCCCGGCTCTAGGAGACTTTTGTGTCTGTGTTGCCACAGACATTTCTTTTCTTTTTTTTTTGTTGCAATTTTTTAATTTAAATTCTTTAATTACTACTATATTTACATATTCATCCACCCCTATTCCCTTGCCCTCTCATCCTTCCATGTTCTACACCAACCCCCCCCAACCCATCCCCAAACTCCTCCCCAGGGATAGTCAGGCCCTCCACGGGGGACCTTCAAAGTCTATCACATCATTTGGGAGAGGGTCTAAAGGCTCCTTGCTGTATCTGGGCTGCAATAGTATCCCTCCATAGGGAATGGACTCCCAAAGTCCATATGTGCTCTAGGGTTAAAGACTGGCTCCACTGTTAGAGGTCCCATAGAATGTCAGGACTCCTAGCTGGCACCCACATTCAGAGGGCTTGGTTTGGTCCAATTCTGTTTTCCCAGCTTTATGACTAGGGGCTCCATGCTCTCAATAGACCTGTGCAGCCACAGACATTTCTATCCAGTCTCCCACTGGTAAGGAATCATTTAGTGCTCTGATGGATAGCAGCCCCCCCCCCTCCCTCCCTACCTACCTTCCCACCTATCTATCTTGTTTTTTCAAGACAGGTTGTCTCTGTAGCTTTGGAGTCTATCCTGGAACTCACTCTGTATATCAGTCTTGCCTCAAACTCACAGAGATTGGCCTGCCTCCAAGTATGGGCCACAAGGGCCTCTTAAAAGCTGTACCTCTGTAAGCCTCAAGCACTGAGTCTACTTGAGAGACCTTGGTCACCCAGGCCAAGACACTGTGTCTGACTCCATGTTCAGAACTTTTTTTAAGCTTTTTTAGGACTTAATATGGACATTTGTGATCCTACATTGGGTGCCATATCTAACGAGTCTTTCTTTGTACCACCAGCCAGCTCCCGAATCATGACATGGAGACTTAGTGATAAATGCTTCCCCTTAGCTTAGGCTTGTTCCTAACTAGCTCTTTTTTGTTTTTGTTTTTGAGACAGGGTTTCCCTGTGTAACAGTCATGGCTGTCCTGGAACTCACTTTGTGGGTCAGGATGACCATGAACTCACAGAGATCCACCTGCCTCTGCCTCCCGAGTGCTGGGAT